AGTACAGTCATACTCAAGAGGACTTTAAATGATATACAGGTATAAATTTGTGATTCTAATAGCTAGGGATTTATTTTAATGTGTAATAGGAAGATACTAATTGTCCACTTACAGTGATATAAAATTTCCTTCTCAAATAAGTTAAGGTTCAAAAAAAAAAATAATGAGTGGCAAATTAAATAATAGCCCAGAGATACCGGGCTGTGGCAAAATTGTGCAGGGTACATGCAGACAGAATGTCTGGAGGTGGGGAAACCATCTATCTCCTTCCAGCTGATCAGGAAGCCATAGGCCCCATGCTGAGATAAACAACATCTTCCAGCCTGGTACTCCAGGGCCAGCTCTGCAAGTCACTTTGCATTTCTTTTTTAGTTTCTATTTTTTTCCTTGGAGCCACTGGCCTTGCTCTCCCCAAGGCCCCTCTCTTGGTTTTCTGATCTCCTGCGAAGCCACCCTCACTTCGGGAGGCCACTGCAAGATGGAAAAACCTTTTGCTTGATACCCCTGGATCTTGGAAGAGCTTTTTGTTTGTTTGTTTTGTGTGTGTGCCATTTCCTCCCTCGATCTGGTCTTGTGTGCGACCATGTCTGCAAACAACAGCTATGTTTAATAACTAACAGCTTTGCCTGATGCTTTGCTCATAACTGTTCTCACATGGAGGAAGAAAGTTTTTGTCTTAAAGTCACAGTTTTCAAATTTATCGTAGCCGTAAATCAGACCACGACGCTGACGGGAGCGATAGTGGATTCTAGCTCATCTAGGAAGGCCTGTCCTTCTCAGCTCTGCTGAGTGGCCGCCTTCTTCATGCACGCTCTGGGAACCACTTCCTGACACAGAATGAATCACTTTCTCTGCCACACAACACTGTACTTGGGCCATCTCTCTATTCCATACCGGTTTCATTCACACCTGTGTAACCGATGCCTGTTGACGTGTTTTCTTCCCCTCAGATGTGAGCCTCTGAAGGGCTGCGGCCATATTTTAAGTCCTCATTCAACAAATATTCTGAATGCCTACTACATGCCGGGCACTGGGCTAGGAACTGGGAAGGTGAAGGCGAACAGGCCGACACTGTCTCTCCCTCATGCAGCTTGTTGTCTTTGCCCTTTAGGGTGTCTGTCGTAAGTGTATTAGCGATCTGTTGCTGCATAACAAGTTATCCCCAAACTGAGCAGCTTAAAACAACAAAGACTTATTATCTTCCCAGTTTCTGAGGAAGCCATGGGTGTGCAAGGAAAGCCAAGATTTTGGCTACTTTTTCAGATCAAAATTATATGTTTACATATATGTGTGTTTACATATAATATAATCTGGCAGGAATCTGGGAGCAGCTTAGCTTTGTTCTGGCCCATGGCCTCTCATGAGACTGCTGGCAAGATCTTGGCCAGAGTGTGGTTATCTAGAGGCTTGATATGGCTGGTGAATCTGCTCCTAGGCTCACTCACGTGGCTGTAGGCTAAAGGCCTCAGTTCCTTACCAAGCAGCCTCTTCATAGGGTCCCCCTCCCCAGCTTCCCCCCAAATGGATGTTCCAAGAGAGAGAAAGTGAGTAAGGAGAAGCCAGTGTGTCTTTTGTGTAATCTCAGAAGTGACACGCTATCACTTCTGTGGATCACACCAACCAAATCCTGGTGCAGTGCAGAAGGAGACTACATAAGGGGGCAGGGATCATTGGGGGCCATCTTGAAGGCTGGCTGCTACAGTAGGGCAATTGATAGTGGGTGGTCAGTAAATGCCTGGGAAAGTTTTTACCCCAATAAGCCATAAGTCAACACTTCTACTTTTTTAAAATAGACTTTATTTTTCATAGTGGTTTTAGGTTTACAGCAAAAATAAGTGGGAAGTACAGAGCATTCCCATATACTCCCTGCCTCCCCACATGCACAGCCTCCCTCAATAGCAACATCCCCCACCAGCGTGGTACATTTGTTAGAATTGATGAACTTACATTAACACATCACTATCACCCCAAGTCCATAGTCTACATTAGGATTCACCCTTGGTGTTATGTATTTAGTGGGTTTAGACAAACATACAATGATATGTGTCCATAATTATAGTATAATATGGAGTAGTTTCACCACCCTAAAAATCCTGTCTACTCCTCCTAGTCATCCCTCCTCCCCTCTAACCCCTGCCTTTTCCAGAATGTCATGTGGAATCATAAAGCATGTAGCCTTTTCAGGTTGGCTTCTTTCACTTAGTAATATGCATGTAAACGTCCTCCATGTTTTTTCATTTCTTTTCTTTTCTTCTTCTTTTCTTTCTTTCTTTTTTTTTTTCTTACAAGTAAGTGAACATACTTTTTGCCTTGGTTTTACTGACTGTATCATTTTGGAGTGTTTTTAATCTTCCACTAAGCCTAAATAATTTGAATGGTTTACCCAGCTAACATGCTGCTGCCACATTAAATTAAAAAGTAAGTAAATGTGTTTTAAGCAGACTTAGTAACTTGTCTTTCCCCTAAATTGTCTTTTTTCCCCTTATAATCACATTCTCTAGCTATCTTGCCAGGATCATTCATGACCTGCTTGTCTAATGCATTTGTGGAAAACCTCTGTTTGAAATTTTTATATGTTCTATTGAAGGCAGATTTTGTTTAATGTACAAAGCTGAGTCTTGCTAAAAAAAATGAAGCTCTCTAAGAAGAAGGCCTGTGTTGTGCATTAGTTGATGAAGGGACCTGTCACCAGTGGGTGCTGGCTGTTAAACAGAAGCCTCAGATAAAGGGGAAGGGAAGTATTTTTTCTTGATGGGAAAAAAATAGGGCTTTATCATTGCAGTTTGCCCCAACAAAGGCAATGAAGGAAGAGCCCAAGATTGGTTTGGGATAAACATCAGGATAATGGCATTTCAGCATGAGCATCTTCTGACCCTTCTAGGCAGTTAGGTGAGCACTGTCATCAGGAGCACTGTCACCATCTCAAGAGGAAGCAGGGCATAGAGCAGGAGAGCTAGGACAACCATCAGGATAACAAGAACTCGTATTTGTGTAGTATCCAATGCTGTGCCTACCATTTGGACTCTAGGAAAATAGCCTTGTCTCTACTAAGTTGCAACCAGGGAGCCAGCCGCTCTCCTGAGAACAACAAAAAAGGGTGAAATGCAACAAGAAGCCTTCAGATTCTATTGTGTACAAAGGATAGAACATCCTGGAAAAGGAGACTCAGGGGAAGTTAAAAAGATGTACTCTGCTCAAGTCTTAGTGGAAAAGCAGGTTAACTTTTCAAAATTTGCAAACAGTTGAGGGTTGATGAGAATGGTGTTTGACTTTGTATTTCTTTATCAACTCGCTCCAAATTGTACCCGATGTTTTATGGAATCATTATGTAATAGTTCTACTTAGCTGTTTTAGCAGCAGTATTTTCAGTGAAATGGAGTAAATGAGTGGGAAAATGTCTTCACTCAACACTACCTCTGGGGAGCCAGGACACCAATGTGGTCACCCATCCTCTCCCTCCCGGTAACCAAACCTCCCAAAGGCCCCAGAGGTGGTCATGGTACCTGAGAGGTAATGAGTAGCCCCTGAAGCACCTCACTTGCAAACCCGAAGTTCCCAAGGAATTACAAACATCATGCCATCTTTAAAAACATTTCGGAGGGGCACCTGGGTGGCTCAGTCAGTTAAGTATCTGCCTTCAGCTCAGGTCATGATCCCACAGTCCTGGGATCAAGTCCCACATCGGGCTCCTTGCTCAGGAGGGAGTCTGCTTCTCCCTTCCTCCCCTTTCCTCGTGCTCTCTCTCTCTCTTTCTCAGATAAATAAATAAAATCTTCGAAAAAAAGTTGTAAAAATTTAAAAATAAATAATAAATAAAAAACATTTTGGAATATCAGTTATTTCAACCTTTTTCTGCTCCCACATCTTCCTCCACGTCTAGCACACTCCAGTTAGTTAGCAACATTGTCCCTCACAGGAGAGGGAGAATAAGGATAATAGGGGCATGCATGTTTTGAAAAAAATGCCCTTTACTGATTCCTACCTGCCCTGCTGGGAGTCAGGGCAGGACAGCATCTCTTCTTTCCGCTGTCAGTTGACATAGCAGATGGAGGTTAGTGGCTTCCCAGCTTCTGCACAGGCCATCTGAGAAGGTTGCCTTGAAGGAGGAGTCCAGCTGAACGATGACCAGGGGTCAGGGTACCCGCGCCCTCACCTAGGGTTTGCCACTAACATATGGCATCCTTTATCTGTAAACTGAAGGGGTTGGACTAAAAGATCCATGAGGTCCAGTAGAGCACTGATATTTTGCTGTTCCATATATGCCAGAAGCCGGTGAGCCTTGTTAGTTTCACAGAATGAAGTTACTATGTCTTCCTGTTAATCTAAACCTGTGGTTGCTAACTGGTGGTCAGATCTGGCATGTAAGTGTGTTTTGTTTACACTCCCTAGTGTTTTGTAAGTTTTTTGTCTTTTATTATTATTATTAGTTGTTGTCAACTTCTGTTGCTTCTGGCTTGTCTTGAAAATTCTGTCTCTGGCAACACCTGGCCCTTACTCCTACATCACAACCTCTTCCACAGTGGACATGTGCTGTTCGGTTCCCCAGGCCCACGTGGCCCACTTTGCTCATTTCCACCCCTTCCTGGCCACTGTAGAAGTTAAACTTTGCAACCCCTGTTTTAAATTTTCTCCATATTCTCTGGGTCCCATGGGACAATGATGCTTTGTAAAGGACACATATTCCAGCCTATTTGAGCGTTCTCTGTTGCTTGGATGGGCTCCAGAAGGGTGGGTTTGTTGGGCACGTGAGCTGTGGGCATGCCTATCTGGCTTGTTTATGAATGCAGAAGGTGGGAGGAGAGCTAGAAGCTCAAAAGCTTGTCATGTTCTGGAAAGCTCCCCATTGTTACAGCTGCATTACAGATGTGCAGAAGGTGTATGAGAGGTTCCATGTGAACATCTCCATGCATCAGGAGAGATGAGACCAAAAGAAAAATAAAACCACCATGGGGTTTTCAAGTGTTTTATTTTCCCCTCCTCTTCTTACCCTTGTTGTCTAGGTCCATGCCACAAACGACGAGCAGGAGGCTGCTGCACTCAGCTGGGCTCCCTGTCAGCCCTGAAGCATGCTGTCCTTGGGCTCTACCTTCTGGTCTTCCTGATTCTTGTGGGCATCTTCATCTTAGCAGGTAAGGGCACCCTTTCCTCGTCTGGCCTTCAAGGATGCAGCGGGAGGTGTGTAGGGAGCAAGAGCAGATGGGAACCTGAGAGCTGGAGCCTCTGCTCTTCATTTCCCCAGTCATAAGCCCAAACACTGCCCCTGTCACCATGGAAACCACAAAGGAGGAAGCTGGCTGGTCTTTCAGACCAGCACAACTCTAGGCAGCATTGCCCATTTCATGTGGGATGAGACGTTGGCAGGGGCTGTGTGATCTTGGGAAATCTTTGAGTCCAGGAGCAGAGACCTAGCTGCTCCCAGTGGCTTCTGATTTTTCCCACATCATTGTGTGACTTGGTACATCACACTGGCCCTCCCTGGAGCTCTGTGCTGTGGTTTGCACAGAGCAGGCTAAGCTCCCTTTCCTGGGGATGATGAAAATAGTCATGAGACATTTTGCCGCTGAGGCTAATCAGAGTCATAATAAGCCTGCTGCCCTTTTGCAATTACTGAGGGTGAGATGGGTTTGCCCCAGTCTAGCTGGGTTCTTCTCCCCAGTTTCCATCTGCAAGACAGGCTGGTTAGATGCTGGAGTTGGGAGCACGTTCTCCGGCCAAGAAGATGCAGAGCTCATGGACTTAGAAAAGGATCAAATGGAGGACCCCCATGCTTTGAGCAGCCTAGCTCACCACTCAAAGGTTACTCCCTTATGATATAGTTGGTGAAACAGATAGGGCAGAGGTGTGGTGGTCTCTCCTGACTCCCAGCCAGAGGGAGAGGTACACAATTCCCACCTTTCTCAATGGAGGCACGTAAGTGTTGACAAAGTAAAGCCAAGGGATCAGTTTATTTCAACCTCACCTGTCCTACATGAGTGCCTACTTTGTGTCAGGCTCCATGCCAGGAGTGGAGACACAACTAAATAAGACGCACGGGCTTCTTTCAAGAAGCTCCCAGTTGGGAGGCAAAGCAGAGGCACACAGATAGAGCCCTGTCCTAAGGTGGAATGTGATAGGGATGATGATGGCGACTGTATGTTGACACACAAATGCTGTGCTGATCTAGAGGACGCACACTCAGTGGACGTGTGGATGTTGCACGGAGGGGGGTTGGTCAGAGCAAGGCTGCTAGCCAGGCTGAGATGACTTAGATGGTTGAGGGTGGGGTCCTTGAGTTAACTCTAGGACAGGGATCTGGAGGTTAAGCACTTGCAGATGACCCTTCGCTGGAAATCATGAGGCAGATGCCCAGGACCTCACTGGTCTTGTCTCACTTTCTGTCAAGTGAGCGTAGTCATCACTCCTGTGGTGGGAGGTTCAATGCTGCCTTCACCTTCAGGGCTCTACACTCAGGGCAAAGGGCATCATTAGGGGTGGTGTCTGTCCCACCACCCATTGACCTGGGGGCGAGGGGGGTGGCCAACAGCAACAGTGAGAGAAACTCATGATTCATCTCAAGGACCCAGGGATAATATCCAGCCAGAGGATGATTTGAACATGTTCTTGGGCTGCTCAGTGGGAGATTGGGATCTGGGTTTTGTGGTCTTGGCAGCCACAACCATAACAAATTTCCAGAATTTCTGGAAACGGTTTCAGCCCAGCAGGAAAGCTAGGCTATGGTACTACAATCTCTCTGCCGAATAGGAACTTTTAGGTGACAGAAGAGGGTCTCGAAGAGAGAGCCAGACAGATGAGGACCCTGAGGCAGGTCTCTGGATCCTGGAAGGCCTGGAAGGGCATCATCTCTTGGGAAGAGAAGACCTGCCAAAGAAGGAAGGTTCTCTTCTGGTGCCTGGAGGGTTGCCATATGGAAAAGAGCAGGCATGTTCTGTGTGGCCTCAGAGGGTAGAAGTAGACAAATGGGTGGATTTTGTAAGGAGACAGATTTCCATTCAAAACAGGAGAGTTCCTAACAAGTAGTGTTGCCTGGCATGATGCAGAAAGAATTTTCTCCTGGCTTAGTCAACTTGGAGGTTGAATGGGATTTATGATGACATCCTGGAAGTTTCAGAGCGGGTGGAACACGGTTTTCCAATCTAACCAAAATGTTGCCATGCTTCCTTAGCTGTTCTGTGTGGAAACCTGGGGAAGATATTGATCATTATGATCACCTTTGAGCCTGAAGTTTCTGGGTACCAGATTGCCTGGGTGGCATGACAGTTTGGCGTGGATTTAAACTAATCTGATGAAACAGAGCATCATAATTTAGCTCTTGGCTCTGTGGCATGGCCACTCTCCCCTCCCTAGGTTCTTGTCTGGAAAATCGTGCTGGCCTCTGGGAGGGGTTTGATGAGGATGGCCAAAGAAAAATATAGTCACCAGCTGCCTCTCCCCTAGGGAGGGGACTTAGGGATGTGGTGGACAAGTCTGGGGTTCTTCAAGGAGCCTTTGCCTGACCTTAGGTAGGAAGTTTCTTCAGATTACCCTGATTGAAGACCTCCAGTGTTGCTCCTTTTGTGAAAATACCAAGACCATGGGGACATCCATGATTCAGTGTAAACCAGAGCTTGCCTGGCCTTCTGTTAGGAGTTCTGCTGTGGCTGCTTCCCCAATCTTGGGCAGAACATGTTCTTCATTGCCCTGCTGAGGTCGCCTTGCACAAGAGGTCCTAAGGACTGAATTGTGCCGTGCTCCCCCCCATTTATATGTTGAAGCCCTATCCTTCAATATGATGGTATTTGCAGGTGGGGCCTTTGGGAGGTTATTATGTCATGAGAGTAGGGCCCTCATGATGAGATTAGTGCCCTTATAAGAAGAGACAGGAGAGGGAGAGGGAGAGGGAAAGGAGAGAGAGAGAGAGAGAGAGATCTGCCATGTGAGGACACAGAGAAAAGGGGTCATCTACAAGCCAGGAAAACAGCCCTTAGCAACAGCCAAATCGGCCCACACCTTGATCTTGGACTTCCCAGTCTCCACAACTGTGACAGATAAATGTCTGTTGTTTAAACCACCCAGTCTGTGGTATTTTGTTATAGTAGCCCAGAGTGACTGAGACAGGAGGAGTTCTGTCTGAACCACTCTCAGACTTCAAACCTCTTTGTTGACACGGAGCTCATACGTCCTACAACTGGATGACAAAACCATCCAGTGCAACCAAGTGCCATGTCTGAATAAATGATGGGTAAAAAACTACAGGGGGACAAATGCTCACTCTTACTGTGTTTCAATATTGCAAAATTATAATCTAACTACATAACAATATTACTCTTATAAAACCTCACATGAGACTTCTCTCAGTTCATCTCTTTGTCCAAGTATTTGAAATAAAAGGCAAATACTATACCTCGTGTATATGCATCATCCTGGCTTCCCCTGTCTGATCCAACCATCTGGATTTAAATTATTTTCACCCAAACTATTTTCTCAGTTGGGCTTTCTACCCACCATCTACCTATCCATTCCTGACCAGCATCCTCTTGGGAACTTTCCTGATATTCCCGCAATATCACCAGTTTCTACGCACACAGCCTTCCAACATCTCTCAAGGAGGCTGCATCAGTCCCTTCTTTCCACCCCCAAATTCCTCTAAGACTTTCTATCTACTTCAACCCATTGCTTATTACCTAGACTGATGGTTCCATATTATGTTTTTGTTCTATTCCACGTTGAGTTTTGGACAGTATCGACCATCAGGCTTGAGTTCATGAACAAGAGAGTTGAGAATGGATGGTCATGGGTTATGAGGTCCTTGGTCCAGCACTTTAGGAAAGATGTGATGGAGTGAAAGTGTTAGAGGAGGGTCACTGTTACTCATGACTATTCTGGGACATGACTGTGGTGACAAAGGGTGGTCAGGAAGAACGTCTTCCACCTTTCTCCTGTCATGACACTACTAAGGAATTTGAATTCCTGCTATGAAGATGTAGTAGCAGAAAGGGGAAGTGCAAACATCTCAGTCTCTGATTTCTTGGAAAGCTGGAGTTTTATGGCGATGTAGACTACAGAACTGGAGCAGGGAGAGTTCCTGAAGAAATGGTTTAGGTTAGATATTGCAGGTTAAGATTTCAACATATGAATTTGGGAGGATGAAAACATTCAGTCCATAGCATGCGAATAAAAAGAATCATGAGATGTGTTTCCTACTCTGGGAGGGTTTCAAAGCATGAGCACACATACACATTAGGACAGTATGATGTAGCTAATGCTATGTGCCAGAGTAGAGTCTGCTTATGCAAAGGAAGGTCTGACTCCCAAGAGCTGGAGTGGCCTCAGCCTGGGGAGAGCTGAATACCAAGTGATCCAAATGTCGTTTGAACTGAGCACCCCTTTTTTTGATCACCTCATTCCAAACAGGTCTGTCTTTGACTCTGCAATCAGAGAACAGTGTGCTCAGAGCCCATATCCATTTAGATGGCAGATTACTGATCTCATTATGCATCTCAGAATTAAGAGTGTGATGCCCTTGGACTTTATTGGGACCACCTGTTGGAAACAGTGCCACGAAATTTCCCCTGCGCTTATTGTAGGGGTGCTGTTGAGGACATTGTTCAATCCATTACACAACATCAACACACGCAGAAATTATTTTCTGTCTTAGTTGCAGAAAGAGGTATGCCTTGAGGAATTAGTTTGTTTTCACCTTAAGGAGACTGTGAATCTGAAAGTAATTAAAGTTGCTCTCAAGAGGTAGTTAATGCAGACTGAGAGTGAGCTGTCATCTCATTGCAAGATATATGAATTTGAAGCTAATTAAAATGAAAACCTGGAGACAGATCTGTGGTCCACTTGCAGCTACTGTATAGACTTTCCAGAAAGCATTTTTCTGTTAGTTTCATTCCTGCCTCCATTTAGCATCTCTCACCGGTTCTTCCTTTATCTTGTTGGCATCTACTATTTTCTTACTGTATTTTCTGTATCCTTGTAAACTGCCTTAATCCTTTTTGGAACAAGGAAGGGCTTTATGCACAATTTTTGAAAAAAAATTCTGCCTACTCCCTTCCATTCTGCAAATGCATGTTTTTAAATATGCAAATGATAAGTGAATGAATGAATGAATGATGACAGAGACATGAAATCTTGGAGGGGATCTTAA